AAGAGTGAACCCCCCCAAAGGTCGTACCTGCTGGCGATTAAAGATTGATGGCACTCGAGCCAGGAGTCAAAACAGCTTTTTAGTCTAGTAGCTGATTTAGTGCGAACTGAGATACAGCTGCTTCCTTCCACCGGACAACTGCTATTACAGGGAATGAACGTCTCTGCTCGGTGCCTCGTCCTGCACATCACGATCTCTGCCTTGATGGTCTGGCTTGCCCTAAGCTCTGCCTCTGACCCTTTCCCTTCTGTGCCGTGTTCCCTGGGGAGGTACCGTACCTCGAGGCATCTGAACTCTGCCCTCTTAAGCTCGCCTGCATAGTCCGACGCATCCTCCTCTGGGTATCGCGGATGGCAGCGCAGTCCCTAAAGCCCAGGAGCTGACAGCTCAAGTATTGATCTTTAAACAATAGCTTAAAAATTAGTTTGAGCGAAGAAGAGCGATAGTTTGCGAGGCACCGTGGGAAAGGTCCGAGTCAGGATTTCGCTGCAGACAGGAGTTACACAGGTGTGCGGTAAGGACTTAAACAGTACAAGGTGTCGAATCAAAGGTCCTGATCTTCCAGCTCCGTTTCTGACGAGACCGTTCGCAAAGGGCAGGAGGAAAGAGCAAGGCAAGCACGTAGCACTGCTCTCCTGGAGCAATCTCCTGGCACCGGCGTCGTGGGTCAGGGGCTTCCTGAGATACAGGTGATGCCCCGGTACTTAATGGTCCTCAGTAGATTTGTTTTCCTTTGTGTGATTTTGTCCGATGACTCCTGGGATCCGGCAGCAGAGGTCTGCATCTTAATTACGTGGTGTCTGGAGAACCGTGTCCCTTTGTTTGTACTGAATCTGCCAGCTGCTGACTTCAGCTGATATCCCTAGCCTCAAATCAGAAGGGAGAGGGAACAGTTGCTGCCTGTTCGCCTTCGCTTTGTCTTTTGACTTCGCCGCTGTGGGGCACCGGCTCGGTGCTTTACAGAACCACTCATTTGTCGTGTCACGGTCGCCTCTCTGAGCAGCACCGCTCAGCTCAGGGCTGTGGTTTTCTGTACGCGTGCCGCTTCATATTTTTCTGGGTAATTTTCATCTGCCACAATGTATTGCTCTCACTCATTTTTACTGCCATAATTAACATAGATTACCCGGCTTTCTGCCCTTCTGAAGATCAGCCGTGGGTGTGCATTGGGAGCCCCAGTGGCAGGGTTGAGTGCTGCTCTCAAAGGCTAAAGCCACCCTCACTTTGTTCTGATAAGCCTTTAAACCGTGTGAATACGTCGGTGGCGGGGCAGAGTGTGGTACCGGATGCATTGCTCTGCGTGAAAACGCAGAGCGTGGCATGAAGAGGGCTGGAAAACCGCGCCCCACCTGAAATTTGGGTGAGGTCGTAGCATCTGTGACCCGAAACTTTGCTCTGGACCCATACTGTGCCTAAATGAAGATCTTTGCCCATTCATTTTTTTTCAAGCAAATACAGATGTAGCAGGACCCTTCAGATCTCGATTGGTTTGCTTGATTAAAATCCAGTTTCACTTTCTGTACACTGTTGTCTGAAGCACTAGAACATCTATGTACTGCGTGACGAAGGAATCCACTGCTTGCTGCAATGCCCCTTCTAAATAAATTTTGAAGAACCTTGTGGCAGGAGATAAAAATATTGTAGGACAGAAAAAAGCTCAAACACAAACTCTGTGGGCATCAAGTGTGTTCATGTGCGGTCACAATCGCACGCTGCAGTTGAAAATCATCTATTTTCCAGCGTGAGTCTCCAGGGTTCAAACCCCCAAAGCAGGAGATTTAAAAAACTTGAATTGAGGTTTTTTTTCTATGCACGCTCTTGGTGAGTGTCTATGGTGCAAGCTTCTTTCTGCGGCTGAGTACGGGAGTTTACCTTCCAACGGAATAAGATGACTCTCTCCTGTAGTTACCTGATTGTAAAAGCCTGGTTTTAAGAAAAATGCCAAGCAGCAGCACAGCCCCAATGAGAGCGCGACAGCTTGCAAGACTGCGCTTTCTTTAAATTGCGAAATACTGGATAAAAAATAGTCATTTATTTCAAAAATTGCTAGCTGTGAAGTCAAGCGCGGCTTTTACCCAGAGTAATTTTATCTGAAAGGAGAGTAACAACCATTTTCCTGAGTGTATACTGGTAATTAAAGCTCTGTGGAAGGGCTGTTTTTCAAACAGGATGGACGTTCCTCCTGAGGACCCTTGTACAGCCGCAGTGATAAATGAGCGTCTCTCCTGGCTTCGGGAGATAACAAATGTCATTCTCTGTCTGGCAGAAGCGCGCGGGCGTCCTGAGCCCCTGGGCTTCGGCAGGAAGGCGCCCGCTCCCTCTGAAC